GTTTCTAAAACGTGGGTATTTTTTCCCAAAAAATAACCCACGTTTTTCTAGGGGAGGAATTCGAAAAGGGGGATGTGCGCGTGGGTACCGGAGGGCCCAGTGCTTCTCAATGGGGTTAAGGTAAGTACTTCATTTAAATCGCGAAACCTTGACAAGAAATCGGATGAAGAATTACGGTAAATAACGGTTAAGGTGTGTTCAAAATATAGCCTCTTTCTCTTTCTTCTGTTTTTAAGTACTCTAAGGTCGGGATGACGTGTCATAATGTCCTGCGATGATTAACTCGCCGAGACTGATTTGTTTCCCACGTCGACCATCCTCTTGTAAATAACCAAAATATGCACGATCGATTGGAAGTCTGACTCACTCTAAAACAAAAACGGGTTCGACTTTTAAAAACCGAGTTTTATCTGGTTCGTCTGACGTTTAGTAGTTTGTGCACGAGTCCAACTATCCTGCGGAGGTGCTATTGCACACCGAAGTAGTACGGTACTTCGTACCCAAGTATTGTCTTCCCGCTTATGTTTTCCAACTTCGAAAGAGCACGATTCACATCTCCTGTCACACCTATTAAACGTCACCTTTAAATAGACTTCGAGAGAGGACGCTTGTTTCGTCGCGGCACAGTCAGAGGATACAAAAAATCAGATAAAAGAGTGAAAAAAGCAACAATACCGAATCGACACTTTTATATTATCAAACACGTGACAAAAGAATCTACCCAGCAAAATGAAATTTTCTACGCAGAGCTTGGCGTTGGCCCTTGCCGCCGCATCTTGCACCCCGGCTTTGGCGTCGGAAGAATCGCCTTCCGCTGGCCTCAACAGCGGTCTGCCGCCAAACCACCCCCCCATGCACCCGACCCTCGCCAAGTTTTCCTCGCAGTTCCGCTGCCCGTACGCGAAGGAATGGCTCGCCAAGGGTGCCCACAAGGCCGCCATCGACCTCGGCCTGACCAACCCCAAATCCGTCGATGCCTCGTTGTTGAAGCAACCCCAGCCACCGCACCGAAGCCGTGTGTTGCAAGCTTCTGGAGCAAGTGCGAAGGGGAGCTGCTCTTTCACCAACCCGTGGTCGGGACCCACTTGCATGGAATTCCGCGGGGAGGGATGGACCGAGGACAACATGGCCGAGCGCTGTTCCTCGGAAGCCGATAGCGCCCTCTCTCCGGGAGAAGGATGTCCCACTGCCACCGAACTCGCCGGATTTTGTGTCAGCGAATCCGCCGCGGCAGCCGGCAGCGAAGAAGCTACTGTAATGATCGAGGCCACTTCCATGATGATTTCTGGAGCTTCGGATTGCGGAGGCAACAAAATGGCCTGCGAGACGTTCGTCGGCGGATCTTGGGAGGCTGCAGATTCCTGTGGTGGATCTGGGCCTGCCGCAGGTGCTCCTACCATGGGAGGAAGCATGATGGGCGGAGGCGGATTCGATTACGCCAACATGGCACCTTCCGGAAGCAGCGGAGATGGCACTTGCTTGCTGGCACCGGGTACGTCTTCTCAAAGATGTTTTTTTGGCGTGGCTTTGTTTCTGATTCGATGCAATCCCTCAGGTCGTGATCTAAAACACTGATCTCTGTTCGGGTGGTATTGGGAGATGAACATTGCGATTGTGATATTGTGATATTTGTTTTTTCTTCGGTCACTCATCTTTTTGTTTTGGAATCAATCGACCTCTTGTATCCTATCCAACTGATCACGGTGATCAGGCGCCATCGGAGCCGCCCACCAGGCAGGTTTTTCCAACGGTTATTCAGCCGCCTGCCCCGGCACTCCCGCCGAGGGATCTCCTTACATGTGGCCAATGGCCTGGGCCACCGACTTTGACACGCAGTCGATGGCCTTTGGCAGCGACGACGTCGTTTGGCGCAGCCAGGGACGAACGTTTTACCGTCTGGACAAGAACTGGAAGCGTTCCGATACAACCTTCTCGAACGGAATCCTTCGAACGATCGGGCAGGGACCGTGTGACGACATCGACGAGGAAGAAAGCAAGAACGGGGTCGTTGGATGCAACAAGAACACCGATTTTTCGAAGGGTGATCCGTTGACGACAATGATTCACCGCGGATCGAAAATGTATTTTATCACCTGGAAGAACAGTACGGAGGTGAAARTTGGAGAAACCGATCCCTCGCTGATCGAAGAGTGCAACCATATGAACTTAATGGTTGTTGGAAACATACGACCCGATTGGTTTCTTGATAACAGAGGAGACGATACCGATGTCCAATACCTTGGTGATCAGCATGTATACTACGCCGACGGGAACATCCCGCGCCTCGTCAAACAATGGCGGAAAAAGGATTTCGCCTCGCAGTATTTCACAATGAGCGTAACCGGCAACCCAAAGAGCAACCCAAAGCGCAACCGAAAACTGATGGTCCAGAACGCAACCACTTCCGACGACGACGCCATCCACTGGCCGCTCATTCTCAACATTCCCGGAGAAGGCTTTGGAGATGACATGCTCCAGGTCTACACAAACCACGAAATGCTATCGGATGAAGATGACGACTTGTTCATGTTGATCGAAAATCTTGAGGCAAGCGGTGGGTCGTGCCCCTTGATTCAATCTGCGAATGGCGATGACGGCGAGCCATCGACCGTTGGACCCCCTCAGCTCGAGGTACACGTACCCAGTAACCTCGAGGTCGATTCCAACTCTTGGTTTTCCAACGTTTACACCTTTAGTCCGGTTTGGCAGCCCCCTATGAAGGCGAACCTTCCAGTCGATGTCCCCGCAGGAGACACGGGGGTTGCCTTGACGGAGGAAGGCCGTGTCCGTGTCGAATCGTGCTACGATCCTTCTTCCCAATCCGTGAAGCTTTCGGTAGAGTGGCTTGATGTGACACCCATCCCCACCGAAAAGGGGGCCCAGCTGCCATGGGTTTCTCTCGGATACCGCCCGACAGAGGTCTGTGCCATGAACCCCATTGATGGCAGCGATAGCAAGATCGTCATGGTCACCCAAGGTCCCAACGAAACTGCCCCTAAGGCATACGCCGGAAGCCTCGCTGCCGGGGCAAAGCGATTGGACCAAGACGCGTTGGGTTCCATCTATGACTCCTTCTGGCCGCTTGACGAAACTCTTGGTTATTCCAACGTTCAGCTGAGCCTTCCTTCCGAGGCGATCAAGATCGAGCGCCAATCGATGGACGCTTCCCAGGACACCGTGAAACTCTCCTTCCACCAGTCGTTCGAATCCAAACCAAACGCGATGCATCTCATGTACGCCATTGGAATGTCGCCTCAGCTCGGGGTGCACATTTCTCGTGGCTGTCTCGAGGTAGTGGAATTCCCCACCTGCGCTGCCTCGGATGGATCATCTGCTACCAAATCCAGCGGCCAGGCCGGATCGCCTTCCATGGCGACCCAACAAGATTCGAGCGAGAGCATTTCTTCCTCCTCGACGGTGTCTGCGAGCGCGCTTGCAGGAGTTGCGGCCGTCCTCCCCGCTTTGATCATGGTGTAAACGAGCACGTGGGCTTCGTTGCTTCCATCCAAGCAAGAAAAAGGAAACAAAGAATTCGTTGGGAAACAAGCAAATGCCTTGTGTGCTTTGTTTCTTTCAGCTTTCTTCCCGCCATCCCGAAAGACTATCCGACGAAATCATCCCGCTTGCATCTATTGCATTGCCAATCATTCATTCCATACTTAATTGTTTACTGTATTTTTTACACGATCATTGGCTTTGTTTCGCACATCATGGGTAGTCTGGAAAGGCCGACCATTACATATTCTTTGTCTCATGTTCATCGTACAGTTCATAGTTACAGTAATTTACTGTTCTGAGTTTTGGAACATTGCTCAATATTTGGCACGAGAGAATCACGAATGTATTCAAGATGATCAGAAGCTCTGCTTTCCTTCGCGCATTCATTGCCGCTATCGACGGACGCAGCGTCTTTTAGTGCAGTGTCAGGGCTATTCAATCCGTTATCGTCGACAGCTGCATTTATTCTCAACATTCCTTACTTCAAGTTTGTTCTGAACCCAGGTCTCAAAAAGTGTTTCCTATCTTCGTTTTAGTTAGCAATTTTTATGATGTTAGGGTTAATGTTAAGTGTTGAATCAAGAATTCTGCGGAATGTCCAAGACCGGAACAAGGTATCAGACCCTACGGTACGAGTACTGACTGCATTGGCTAATATGGTCCACTGGACTGAGGGAGCATTGACCTTGATCGTTCTCACAGTCACTGCTCTGGAGTTCAAAGAAACGAAAAGAAACTCGTTTTTTTGGTGTAACGCAGAATCCATGTAAACCTCAGTACAGTATTCCATTTTGCAAATAAACTAGTACTTCGACAAAAAACAGTTGTTTTCAACCCTTGCACTCAACTAGTATCTGCAGCCTAGAAACTATTTGCGTTAGCGAGCCACTTAGTATCTTCGTTTCTAATGATTTTTCAGCATCACTACGCACGTTATGAACCATACAGGCGGTAAAGTACGAGGATCGTAACGTTGGAGTGACTGGAACATGTGATGCACCATATCTCTCGACGAACGTGGAAAATTACTAAAGTCAGTGGAGTCTGGATGACACTTCTTTGATAGTGCTGTACTACAGCATAGAAGGTTGATATGGATTTAGGAGGTAGTATTGGTTTTGGATAACAAACGACCAAGGATTGCTRCAACGATACTTTCTTCGAAATCGTTCACACTCATTGCCGCTGTTTGAAATTCATCACAAAATACTTGCGAGCTAGCAAAGAGACGGAYCATGCCGTCTGTGAAAGAGATCGACCACATCAAGTTCATGGTGACTGCTCTTGCCTCTGACACAAATGATTCGAGCAAGGCGGAGCAAGAACAGCAGAGTGGGGAAGCAGCCAGTGCAAGCACTGGAGCCGACATCGAAGCGAAATGTGTCAGCACCAATCACACCGGCGAAGCCAGCGGCATGCAGCTGGGACATACCATTGATGTTGGCCGGAGACGAGAAATTCTCCATAAGATCATGCCATTTTTCCCAGCCATCGAGAAAGAAGACTTAAAAAAGATCATCGACTTTCATTTCAGCTCCGCACCTGAGGGCCAATCCAATGGCTGCGACGGCGACGGCAATAAAAGCAAAAATATCGATGGTGATGGTGCCAACAATAAAACCGAAAACATCGAATGTAATAGCAATGTCGATGTCGATGTCGATGTTGATGTCGATGTCGATGTCGATGTTGATGTCGATAGAGAACGCAACACGTTTGTTTCACCAAAAGGCGAAATGATTGGTAGCAACCTGGCCCACCACAGCTCCAGCAATTCCACCTCCAATGCTGCCATTTCACATCCTTGCGATGCCGACGTCTTACTAGGTTCCAAGGGAACCAAAACGAAAAAGAGGAATAGACACCACCSAGGAAACAAGTATTACGAAGACCTAGTTTCTCGGGCCCAAACATTATCGGCCGACCACAACGATCAGACAGACCCGTCCAACTTTAGGCTCACATGCAATCACGTCGTAGCAAACATTCGCAAGGTCGGTGGTAGATTCCTGAAACCCTACCACAAACACAACGGCGACGACGGGAACTTCCTTTGGATAGAAATCGGGGACGAGCAAGCGGTCGAAACCACTGCCCGTGCTATCCATCGCGACAAACACCGCTGCCTTCGTAGGGAAGAAAAGAAGAGGAAAAAGAAAAGACACAACAAGAAACCGTCACCATCACCACCGCCGCCGCCATCATCATCACCACTACCACCACCACCACMGTCGCGGGCCTGCCTTTTCCCGGAATTCGAACACCAAGGTCGAGCAACAGAGGCGGCAAAATCGGTCCCAAAAGAGCACCACGCAAGGGAGCAGCAGCGACATATAGAACAAGAGCAGCAGTCTAAACCAGCAACCGTAGCACCGCCACCAGGCACCTCGATCGYAGTCGTTTCGCCCAAAACAACCAAAACAGAGACTCAACAAAAACACCATGCAGGTGGTCAAGAAAACGAGCAAATGCTGCAGTCAAAACCAGGAAAGGTACCGCCAAAATCGGTCGCCACTATGTTATCGGAGGCAGTGGGCGGTTTAAAAAACCCCGTCCATGTTTCTACTACCATTTCCACCGATAAACCTGCAGATCGAATTGCAAGTATGAATGACCAGGCGAATTCAAAGACGGCATCAACTGTGCGATTAAAAATCGTGGCGAAAGATCCAACGTTGAACGGCTTTGACCCTGTTGTTTTGGCGGATGACATGAAATTTTTTGGCACGAGCATGCTTTCACTCAACAAGGACAAAGTCGGCAATGAGGATGATAACATACCCAACCTCCAAAGCTATGGTGGGCATGACTCTGAACCACGTTTGACACAAAAGCAATTGCTATGCGACAAACAGAAATTTGTTGACTCCAACAAGGGCTGCAGCCCTCCTCCTSCTGCCAAAATTCTAAAATCTAGAAATTCTAAACTTGCCACCGCTATAAATACTGATGGCGATGACAGCCAGGGATCACAATCGCCATCATCACCATCGTCTACTGTGCGATTAAAAATCGTGGCGAGAGATCCGACGTCCAACCACTTCGATCCCATTGTTTTGGCAGACGACCTGCAATTTTTTAGCGCGAACAACCTTTCACTCAACAAAGACAACGTCAGCAAYGARGGTGAAAAMACCTCCAAGCCTCAAAGCTGCGGTGGGCATCACTCYGAATCACTTCTGACACAAGAACAATTGACCTGCGGCAAACGGGAATATGTTGACTCCAACGAGGGCTGCMRCCCTCCCCCAGCAAAAATTCTTAAATCTAGAAATTCTACACTTGCAACGGTTATAAATACCAATGGCGATGACAGGCAGGAATCGCCATCGTCACCATCCCCATCCCCATCGCAACCAACTGTATCTACGGAAGACTCCAACCCGCTTTTCCAAAAACTCCCCGCGGAATTGAAGGCTCTTCGTCCGTACAACAACTTGGGCGCGACCGAGGTCTGCAACTACGGAAGTGGCAGGTCGGAGGTTCGACAGAAACGCCCCCCGTTGAGGTACGGCAAAGAGTACCTGTGGTTAAATGTCTCAACAGGTTGGAACGAAGCGAAAAAGCCTCTGACCCAGAGCAATACAAGAAAGGAAACGAGGGGAAAAGACAAGGATCCGAGCAGTTTGGAAATGAAGAAAGACACTACTCGCGTTTCCACCATACCAAAGAACACGCCAAAGACAGCATTTACTATAGGTAGTGCCAAGAAAGGGAAAAAATCCTCGTCATCGGCGTCGAGGGAATGCGTTCTCTTCGTTCTTAATGGAATGAAATCACCAATGAAACAAACCCGCCAGGACAATTTGAAAGAATTRTGTTGGTGGTGTAATGTTTACATTGATAACATCGAGAGAGCCGATGGTGACAACGCTGACAGTGCTCCTGCTGCGATGAACGCTCATGCCGTTGYGAATCGTGCCTTGGAGCTCTTGCGGGAGTTTGTGAAGCTCTCGGGACTCCAATTGGTGCTGGCTCAGTTGAAGGACTCCAGGAGTGATTGGCACTCGGTGGTGTGTTGGTGCTCGGTGCTCAGCTGTTGTTGCACCACATTCTCGAAGGCGGCCTCTCGCGAAATCCTAGAGCACGACGGCGTTGATGTCTTGTTGAATGCAAACAAAAGCTACCAAACGCAGATTGATCTATCTATGAGCATCGACAATGACGAATGGAATACCCTCCACGGGGGCACGAGTAAGAATCAATTTAAAAGAATCATCGCAGTATGGGCAGCTTTGAGAGACGTTACGAAAGAGCAGTCTTTGCTTCTGATCCAATCGCACAAACACGGATCGAAGACGAAGGACCTAACCAAAAAACTCATCGTTGGTTGCTTCGAGACGCTTGTGTTTTTGAAGAAGGTTGGAGATCGAATCAGCACTCATTGTGGTTCCTTCATCCTCCGCCACGTGCTTGAGACGCTCGAAAATGTACAATTGTTGCTTCTGCAACAAAGGCAATTGCCGGTACTAGAGTTGAGGAAATGGTTTGAGAGGGCCGCTATTTGGCATTGCCTGGTCGCTCTGAAGAATCCCGAATCGGAATGGAAGACAGAGTGTATGGGGGAAGGTTCCTTCTGCAAAGCCGCACTCGCCTTTTTTCTGAAGGTGTACCGAACTGATTTGGGTGCAGTCGACCGAAAAGACAACGAGCAGGTGGTCTCGTTCTGCGTCGATCGTCTCTCAAGATATCCGCGACAGATTCCCATGATCGATCTTTACAACTTGCTACTCTTGTGCCAACGTCGCGACAGGGAGTTCATAAGGAAACAATCGGGCCTTCGAAACGTCCTCACAAGCATTGCTGGATCCATGGATAATGGTATCGAGGAGGTAAAGGTGTTTGCGACTTCGTTTCTCCAGGAACTCACAAATCAGGAAAGTTCAATAGCGGTTGTGTAGCATGTCTATTGAGTACTTAATTGACTCCAATGCAATGAAACTACAAGTGGTTGCTAGAAGTATAGCAGAATGCAACGAATCTTGAATGTTTCGTATGCTTGAGGTAAATTTAGCAATTATAAGGTTTTTCATGCAACAGTAGTAGCACTATTGACGCTAGCCTCCCTATTTCCACCCAAGGACACCATCACCTTCCGTATTATTTTCCGCAGAATGATCGACAGCATCACCTTCAGAGTGGACGCTATCAAACGGACCATCCCGGCAATCCCCTTTATGCGAAAGAGACACCGCTTGAGGTGACTCTTGAGCAAAATCCGCGTGACTTGTTTCGTACGTTGCGCCTGACGCTTCTTGAGTGCCTTGCATTGGTCCGAGACGGGCCGATAGTCCACCGAGCGGGGAGTGGTTCCTGCTGTTGTCTCAGCCTCACGGATAGGCGGTCTTTCCTTCTTATTGTTACCGCTGCGTCTCAAAGCGGAGAAAAGATATTTGTTGAGTATGGTTTCCGTGCCCATCTCGACAATCGGTTGTCCCTCCCTGGATCCAAGTTTCCAGATCAAATCGGGAGTATCCAGATCCTTCAAGACTCCTCTAAGTGCCCTTCCGTTGGTCGATCCAAGCAGCKTCCCGATGGCATCCTTCATGGCCCCCTGTCGAGCAACGGCGTATTCCCGTTGTTTGCGCTCCTTTTCTTCCTGTGTTGTGGCGGCKGCCACCGTGGATGTGCCATCGTTGGCATGATCCACGGCACTGGCAGCAGCCGACGTTGCAGCCGAAGAACTGGTAGTCGGTTCCCTTGATTCGGTGTCTACTGCTGCGGCTTGTTGCACCTGTGTGGCCTCCTTTTGCAGTGCCAGCAATTCCAGGATCCGTTCCCACTGGATGGTGTTGTCGGGTTTCAACATAATGGACCGCAATACTTTTCTGCCTTTTTCGGTGGACGGCGAAAGAGACCTTCGGACCACCCAAGGCATCGACATTTCGTAGATGTTGAAGTCTGGATCAACTTGAGCTGTAACACCACGGTATTTCAGATCAGATCAGATCAGATCAGATCACGAGTAGTCGTATCAATACGTTTGTAAATGCAAACGATGTCAGTCGAGAACGAAATCATTTTTAAAACATGAATAGAAAAAAGATCCAGAACGTTAAATGTTCGATAGCATTCACTAGCATGTACTAGCATTCGCTGCAATAGCCTCTACTTACCGGCAATCCCCTCCAATGTCAGAAAGGTCCGGATCAGCAAAAGCACATAGGGTGGTGTAAAGACTAGCCACCTGGGAGATATCTTCTTGTTGAGGACCGTTGCCAGCGCTCCAAATCTCGACATTCCCCCCTCGGTGGATTTCATGGCTTTTTCGAGGTCGAGGGCCAGTTCGTCTTGGCCAAAGTCTGGATCGACCCTCCACAGCTCGTCTGTGGAAGCCCGGTGCATGATTGGCGCCGTGATGAACCCCGTATCGGTAAATGCCTCGGTCATGGACACGAAATCCTCGCTCAAGAGTGCGGCGATGCCCCTGGCAAAGGCCTCCATGACGTCCTGATCGACGTCCGACATGAGCCCGAAATCCAAAAAGACGATCCGGCCATCGTCGTTCCGGAGCATGAGGTTCCCCTCGTGGGGATCCGCGTGGACAAAGCCCGTCAGGACCATCGATGCCGTGCAGGCCTCGACGGCCATGCGGGTGAGGGCCAGCTGGTCGCTCGACTCCGGAAGGTTGGCCAGGTGATGCCCGTCCACAAAGGTCGTTGCCAGGACCTTGTCGGTCGCCAATAGGACCTCGGGGGTATCGACAAAGCCAAGGAATTCTAACGAGTCGCGGAACTTGTACGAGTTTTCGGCCTCGATCCGGTAGTCCATCTCACGCTTGATGTCCCTTGCGACCCGATCGATGACGCTGGCGACGGTCCCCTCCGGTCCAAGGGACCGAACCTCTTCCTCCGTCATGCCCGTCTCGAGGGAGTGGGGGACGTCACCTTCCCCGTTGGAGGACGAAGCGACCAACCCGTTCCACTTCTCCGTCCAGTCGATCACGGTGTTGCGAAACGCGCTAGCGATCCGGAAACACTGTGTGTCAATGGCCAGTATGGAGAGGGCGTCCGGCCGCTGGACCTTGAGAGCGACGTCGACGCCGTCCCAGGTGGTGGCCTTGTAGACCTGTCCCAGTGACGCGCTGGCGATGGGTTCCTCCGAGAGGCTTCGAAAGAGGGGCTTGCTGCCGCCTGTGCCTTGGMTGCTTTCGGATTCGCCGTCTCCCGCCAGTGGCCCGTCCCAGTAACCGAGCGACTCCCGAAGAACGGCCCTGGCCAGGTCGTTTTCGAAGGGTGTGTTTTGCGTCTGGAGACGCTTGAGGGCGTCGCAGGCCGCCCGGCCGACAATGTCCGGCCGCTGGCTGAGGGTCTGGCCGAGCTTGACCGCCAGGGGGCCTAGCGAGGCGATCGCCTCGCACAGGGCGAGGGCTGCCGGGTCGTCCCCGCTGGGGGGGGCCAACGAGACTTCCTCCTGTCCGGAGACAGCGGCGGATACTTCACTGCTGGCATTGTTTTGCTTTTCCAGCTGCGCCTGGTTCCAGTCGGCCTGTGCCTTGTAGAGTGTTCCGAGGACGGTAGCGAAGCGCTCTACAATCACCTGCTTTCGTTCCCAGCCAGACTCGAAGAAAAAGGGCCTCAGGACCTCGTCCTCGAGATCCGTCTCCCGGAGTGCCTCGTAGTCCCTCCATTTGTCGAGAAGGGAAGAGGTTTGTGTCTGGGATTTTGTTTCCGATTGGTTTGCCGTTGTCTGTTGTGTCTGTTGCGATTTGGATTGTTGCTGAGCTCGATGCTTCACCGACTTGATGGTGTAATCGGAAGAGGAGGACTGGTTGCGGCGGCGCATCGGGTCTCTCCCCTGGCCCCGGAGGAGCATTCGAATCACCTCTTCCGAGCTGGGATCCATATTGCTCGTGCTGGTTCGTCCGCCACCCACCCGCTGCCTCGGCGTTGTGATGACCATGGCGCTCACGCCAATCCAATGCACGAGACAAACGCACATCAGTATTGATATCCCTGATACCACCATGTTCGACGGGAACCGCCGCCTTCCGGAGACGAAGGGCATATTATGTGTTTCGTGGTATCGTTTTGATTTTCAACTGCCTTTTGAAACAGTGTGATGCGATGCAATCTAATTCGACGTGACGTGAACTGATCTGATTGGATGTGTTATGCTATCCTATTGCCTTGTAATCGAATGTGACGGAGATGGGGGATACTCGTACCGTTCAACAAATCCTTGTTGAAAACAACTCCTTACCGTTTGTACCGCACTTGTGCCAATCGATCTACTACTCGCTCAGTACTCGTACTCGTACTCACCGAATGTGTCACAGGCTAGCAGGCACGAAAACGTAGTTTTTCGAAAAAAAAACACGAGTACGTTGTCAAGCATTTTTTTTTAGGAAGTCGTTCTGCCGGCAAGAATGACGAAATCCAACCAAATCCAACAATATTTACTTCCAGTACTACTCTGCAGTAAAAAGTATCGTACGGTGGACTCATAGGAGTTAGTACTCATTCTCCAAAGAACGACACGAGGAACAACGATTTTTCTCGAAAAACTGGGAATCGTACCGTGTCTACGAGTTTCTCTACTGATGGTACCCTTCAGTACGTTTTTCGTTCGTGCCGACGACACGGTGTTCACGCGGCAAACGGAAAACAAAGAAACAGAATTTGTCAATGACACCTGCAAATTGTGGACGGTTGAAGTACAATGAAGCGATTTGATTCGCTGCGTGGTTCGCAGCCAACAGCATTGGCATACTGAGGTATATCTACCTACTCAATGTACGTGACATATAATAGATAAGAACATTCAATCAAATGAATTCGTGGAAGACGGAAGCAGCTTGTAATGTGAGCCTTGCAAATAACCTGCAAATCGTTCGTATACTCCTTTGTGTCACATACAGTAAAGGGATGTTCACACTAAAGAGAGAGGTTGAGCCTATTGCTCACTCACTATCTACTCGTGATTAACGTGTTACTTGCTCACAAGCCTAACAGGGGTAATTCACACAAATCACGAGTGAGTAGTGAATGAAAGAACTGAGTACGTACGAATAGGTGCGACTACGTCCGTCTCCACTGCCGTGCTTAAGCATACGAGCACCGTACTGCTGTACTGCAGATATTTATGCTTCCGGGAATCTCAGGACCAAAGAAAGAATACTGTATTGTGAATCCTTCTCATGTGTACGACATGTACCGTAAGGTACGAACTCGTGTCTCATACGACTTGAATAGTATTTGTCTCATACGACGTGAATAGTATTACAAGTATTATTCGTAGTACTAGGAATGAACGGACGACCGATGGCTCCTGGCTAGCTGTATGTCGTCCTATTGGCAGTCCTGGATCCCAGTACCGTAGCATTTGACCAAGCGACGAAAATATCTTTTGGAAGAACTCCAGTACCATGAATGTGCTAAACACATTACAAAGGATCTAGCCCATTGAGATTCTCAATTATTACTCGTAACGATCGGTCCCGACCTGGTGTCTCGCGCCGTGCGCACGCAAAGTGGGAATGGACGATGCTATATAATCAACATTCAGTCATGTCTGAAACAGAATGTTTAGGTGCGACCAAGCCAGCATGTATATTCTTCTTTGTATCCATGCCTTGGAGATTTATAATGGCTTACGAAGTAATTGATTCTTCAATTGGGTATGCAATTCGCTGAAAAAGAAGTGCGTACTGTATTACTGAGAATGCATCTAATTTTGATCCATAACTGATCCATAATCATTACATCATGGTTGTTCGACTACTTCCTCTGTTACGCAGCAGGAGCGCACCGTTTTGTCCCCAACACTGGGGCCAGATTGTCGAAAAATCTGTCCAGTTCTTTCTGCGTAAGAACAGTCCGGTCGCAATTGTGAAACATGTACAACATCGCACCCAACAGGTGTTGCAAGCACATGGTTTGTTTGTGGGGGTTGCCCGTAAATCGATGAATCTGACCGAGGTTGTTCGTGATGAGCATCATGAATCGCATCGAGACGTGCTCCTCGTTCCAACAGTCGCTGTTGCGTTTTGTGTGTTGTTGTCGCCGAAGAGTCTTCTTTCTTTGCAGTTCGTAGGCGAGATGATAGAACTTGGAGGCTTGCTGCATCATCTCGAAACTTTCCATGGCAGTAGTGCTACCGGCGGTAGCTATTTTTGATAAGCTGATGGCCTTCAGGTGGTGGGCGATTGCGATGTTGAACAATATCATTACCGGCAGTACTAATCCCAGATTATGTCCTTCCGCGATGCACCGCGAATTCACACAAAGTGGACAGGAGTAGATGAATCCTTCTTTGTGTTCGTTGTCTTCATTACTCTTCAAAGAAATCAACTCTTGCGCTTTGTCCCGAGAAAGGGGGGATGATCTTTGATTGCGGTGGCTGCCGCCACTTTCAATCATGTTGCTGGTAGCAGCGTCGAAACCAACGAATGTACTTTCGTCGTTGTCTTCCATTGTTACGCAATCATCGAGGTCCTCATAGTTGCGATCAGTATTTTCGCTGCAGAAGCTTGATCTTTCTGGTTGTTGAATGTCGGCAGGACGATCGACATCGAGACAGAAGTGTTGTTCTTSCTCTTTTTCCAGTGCGACCATGAGGAAAGATCCGAGACTGAATTCTTGGAAGGGACACATAGATGTTTCCCCATTCTCATTTAGATCCGATGTCGAAAGGTCTAGGGCATACGATAAATCGGAAATAGCCTCGTCATAATTTCCGTTGGAGATCTGAATTGACGCCTTGTTGTTGAGGCTTTGTGCAAGGAATTGGGAATATCGACGGCCGTTATCGGCGAGACGATCCGCAACCTCCTCGGGACCTGAACCGTTGGATTCGTAGTGAGATTGAATATCCATCTTAGAGTTCCTAAGTAACAAAACGAAGCACTATCCTCACAGAGCTATACTTGATTATTGTAAGGAGCTCAGAATTTGAAAGTGTTGTTGCGGTCTGTGTATGTGTGTGTGTGTGTAGTTGGTTAGTAATGTCCAAATGGCAGTACGACTAGTATTTGTGAAGCATGATTTTGTATTTTCTTGGTAGCGCGGATCTTATCTCACCGGTGAGGGCCTTCTAGAACAAAAAATCATAATAGAGGTACGAAGTTAAACTGCATGCAT